GTTCTTCTACATCAGCGAGTTTATAGCTGTCGTTTAAAAAAATTCCATCTCCATTGACACCACAGTTTGGAAATGCTTTCCCTTACTCAATCAGTCTTAATTAATCAGGACACATAAACAGGCAATTAGGCCTGCACAAAATGAAAACTATTCTTAAGTACACATCAGAATAATTTTTAAACTCCTAAAATAGCTGTAACAGAATGGGAGTTTTCAAATGACAACAAATGAGGTCTACCTGTAAATTTAGAAAAGGCAAGATGAGGAGTAGGATGCCATAATTACAAGGTATAAAATTAGTAACTCATGCTAATGGGGACTGTGACAGTACATTAAATAAAGCACAGAGGCAAATAGAATGCAAGAAACTACATTTGTAGGTGAATGAAAACGTACTTATATATTCACTACTTTATAAAATTTTAATAATTTAAAAAAATCACCCAAGTAGCACTACCCTGTTAGAAGAAAAGCGCATAAAAAGGACAATAACGAAGAGAAAGTAATGTCACAGGTAAAAGACTAAGATTGTAACCAAAACCTTTTGAAGACACTATCTTAGATCCTCAGAGCACACATGTATCTGACTTTAAAAGACTAGAGAATGCCCACAAGAAGTAGTTGAGCCATGTGAGCCAGTACATTAAAGGATGTAATTGGAAGACAGACTCAAAGTAGGAAACTAGAAAAGAAAATCAGAAAATCCATGGAAATTTAACTTTTGGAAGACACAAATCTTGAATTAAACAACTGACTGACTGCAAGGAAGAACTACCAAAGATGTAAAGGATGATAAAAAATATCACAAACAGGAAACCTGCCAGAAGATAATTGGACCAATATATTTTCATGGTGTAAAAGACTCCTTTTATTAAAAATAGAAAAACGAAGCTAGTCATTTGTAGTGGTGTTTACTACAGTGGAGACATATTTTCTTGAGTTAAAAAAAAAAAAGTAACATTCAAGACTGATAGCTGGAAGCAGAAAGCAAAAATTTTCACAGTGAGAGGATTCCAGCCATATCCCCAAGAATCTGTGTGGGAACCTGTGTTATTCAAGGTACTCAGCCACCACTGCCTGGAGAAAGGAATCAGTGGTGAGCTGTGGATATTAATAAATAACACAAATCCATTCAAGTTGAGTGGATGGAAAGGGAACAGCCATGAACTGGATGTGGAATCCTGGGAAACACTGTCACAACATGGAGCTGGGAAAACAGCAAAGGAAACTCAGTGGTACCAAGTACAAAATAACAATCCTGTTAACCAATAGTTTGGTAATCACAGGAACTAAAGAAGCCTCCTTCTATAACCAGCAGTTGAGTGACATTTTAATTGAATTATATTAAGGCTGCAGTGTGACTTTGGTCTTTATTACACGTGAAAGAATCCACAGAGGAAAGCCCTGACTAAGGAGTGGATTCTCTGTTATGTAACGAGACATTAAAACACTCTGAAACTGGTCTGGAGTGACTCCCAAGAGTTGGATCTGGAGTGAACCTTGCCTTCACTGTACACACTCCAGGGACCTTCTATCTGCTTTCTTGTTTCCTGAATTCTGGGCTGCAGACTTTGACCGGATTTAAGGAAATTTCAGACAGCTAAACCTTTATAGCATTTAATTTGCTTGGAAAAAAATAAATATGTAAAATGCAAAGGTAGTAATAAGATATTTAAAAAAGTATTTCCAGGAGCCTGATCGATTTCATCCCACATAAACCAGCAGTGCTGTCAGAGGGAGCAGCCTGGCCTTCCTCTTCCTCTCATCTTCACTCGACTACCATCAGGGAGCTGCATCAGCCTCAAAACTGCTCCAGGAAAAAAAAAAAGGGTCACTTTCTAATTAGTTTGCCTGGTCTCAGTGCAAGGTGGGGGCAGAGATGGCTCTGATGGCAGAAGTATACACCTATATCAGACTAAACTGAGCATAAAACTGCCTAGATCCTGACACGTTTAGTGCTACATTGGATATTCCTCCAGCTTTGTCATCTGTGGGGGAAACAGTTTCAGGTAGAAAACAATGTCTCATGCTGTGTACAGTGTACAGTAATTTCTACTTTCTTTCATGACACATTCAGAAAAAAAAATAATTAAGGCTACTGCACTTGCCTTCTCTTTCATACAAACAGAATAACAGAACTAAACTCAGGTGCAGAATCAACATCCAGTTTCCACTCTCAGCTGTTTTGTTCAAAAAGACCAATGGGTGCAATGAACATCCACTGTCAAGGGCTGGATGGCTCAACTGAGGCAAGCACCCAGCTGCCAGCCTAGAGACTGGTTTGCACCCTCCCTCTCAGGGACCTTGAAGGAATTCTGTATTTTGGCAGTCAAACAGCTTTGCTAGTGGGCAGCACACACATTAAAAGTAGCTGTGCTATGGTGGTGTAGAAGTACACAAGGAAATTTCCAGCACAGGGACTCGTTTCTCCTCAGGCCCTCACAGTACTGGAAAAACCAAAGTGTGAATTACAATCACTGAAAACTCCTCCTCTGGAGGAGGTCACCATCACCATTTCCAAATAAAAATGAATCCTCTGCTTTGTCAAAAAGTGGAAAGTCTTGGTGCTTCCCTTGCTGAGAGCCCTGAGGAGCAGGGCAGCAGAGGGGAAGCCTCTGCAATGGCACACATCAGACATCTCCATCTTTAGCATTTCAGACTGACTCCTCCAAGCAGGTTCTGCTTCTGCCTGGTAGTGACTCTTCACATGTAGAGTCACCCACTTATGTGTTTTGTGCTGGCTGTGGAAGCTGTTTGAAGGCACTGAAATCTTCTCATGTATTGTTTAGGGAGCCTGGACACAAGGCCGGGACAATGAAGCGCTTCAGTCCTGTGACTCTGGGATACTGTAATTTTGATTTTCCCCCACATATGGAAGAGTAAAATCATATAACTGTTTAGTAGAAATATTGCTGCAATTGAAAATTTATTTTAAGTTTCTAATGTTACCGAGTAGGTACAGTTTATGAAAGCCAAAGTCCTCTTCTGCTACATTAAAAAGAATAGACAACCCCCCCCAACACCATTAGAAACATCCTCAGCACTCCCACTGAGCTGAAGGGTGCATGTGCAGACAGAACACAGCAAACACTTGTGTTCTGCATGGTTTCTAATAATGATTTCAAACACCCCTGTCAACAGGCAGGAAGTTTCTCCCAAAGCCAGAGCGTGCCCCCACCTTCACCCCACGAGAAACAGGAGCCGACACATCACAAGGGATTCCTTTCAGCAACAGTAATTCCTTAAGACTTAAAAATTAATGCAACCATCATGTTAATGGTAATCCATTAATGTGAAGAACCTGAAGATAAAAACACAGAGCCAGGGATGTGCTCCATAGCAATGGTGTTACAGTTCTAGGGTAATACTGAATTACAAAATTTGAATGACTAGAGGATTATCCATGCCAGCAGAGCGTGTGAAGTGAATACCAGGAGAGCAGAAAATGATGGCATAGAATGTTAATATTTCTACACAGGGATTGGCTTATGTTGATGGTGTGATTCAGAAAGGTGACTAGACATGGTTGTTTCTTGAAATCAGGCCCGAAGTATTTAAGGACCAAAATCATTAACGTTTTATTTAAAGAGCGATACACTTGTTTATGTCGTGGCAGAACGACCCCTGTATACTGATCTCAAAATCTTTATATCAGAGGGCAATAATGCCACCACTTTGAACACTTCCAGTTAATTATCACTAGAACATTTTGATAATGACAGTGTATTTTGCAACATGAAGAAAATGAGGGAAAAAATAATAAAGTTTAGAAAAAAAAAAAGGCCAAACAACCCTGGGAGCACTGACTTCAACAAGTTCAACAAATATTCAAGCCACATTTAATAACTTTATAAAACTAGTATCAAAGTAAAGAATATATAGTCAAAATACAGAAATCAAGTTGAGTGAGAGAAAACAGCCTGATGAGATCAAACAGAAGTTAAACAGAACAGATTAATATAAACAAGTTAGCTGAAAGGTCGCTTTGCTTCGTGAAGCACTATTTCAGCAACTCCTTTCCTCAACAGCCAGCTTAGAAGAAAAAAAAAAAAAAAAGCATCACTTTAAAATCCTGCTGTATGTTTTACTGTGATTGTTTGTAGAAACAGCATTACCCCAATTTGCAACCCATGTTAATTTCTTATTTAATAAACGCAGTGGAATTTTTTTTTGTAAGAAAACTAAAGTTCAGAATGAAGCATCTGCATTCAGCTTTCCATTACACATACATTTATCATTCAGTTGGCTAGAATTCTTTTATTTGTGAACTGCAAATTATTAGGATTTGCTTACACTTCTAAACCTTTTGTTTGTGATAGATACTTCACTTCTAAAAGTGTCTGGTGTAGCACTCACTAATTACAGAATTATAAAAGGTAGAATAAGGCTTTGCCCGCTCAGAAATTCGCATTTTTGGTAAAGGTAACAATATAACAGCATCACTAACATCTTAATAATAGGCATACATTTAATTTCATATCGCCATCCTTCCAAAGAAAAAAAAAGAAAGACTAAAAGATGTGTGCAACTGGTTTTAGCTTAGTAAAAAATTTTCAAATCAGAACTCATTCAGCTACAATAAACACTATGAATTACGTATAAACATAGATGGAAAAAATGTGCCAGGCTTTAAATGAAAAAAAAAAAATTAATTTAGCAGATGAGGATCCTGTAGTGCTATTATGCACTATCCTGCAAGCCCAGAGATAAAACAAAAATAACAAAAAAAAAAACCCCAAAAAAAAAAAAAAAAAAAAAAAAAAAAAAAAAAAAAAAAAAAAAAAAAAAAAAAAAAAAAAAAAAAAAGGGGGGGGGGAAAAGGAGGGGAAAAAATAAAAAAGAAAAAACAAAAAAAGAAAAAACCCCAAATAAACCAGTTTTGATGCAGGTTTTGCATCAACTGCAGGTTATTGTCTTAGCCTCAGTATGCTCATTCTACGGCTGAGAAATTTAAAGTACCAGATTTTTCCATGTCAGGTACCAGGTAGCTGGTGCATAGATTTCAGACAAGAGAACTACGATTTCTTTAATTTGAGATGGGATCAATAATGTATTGTTAAAATGTCCAAAGTGTGCAACAATAAGGCAGATTTCTTATTACACCACCCCTTAAAATACCCATTGTTTGATGAACCAAACAAGGTGCTTTAAACCAGCAGAGTAATAGGAGACAAGCAAGTGCCAGAATGAAGAAAAACTGCTGAAATGGGAACTGCCCTTTCTTTCACAAGGAGAAATAAAGAACTTCTGTATCTGGTATTTGAAAGGTTTTTAACAGCTGATATTCAATATCAGCTGATTCCTGAAGTGTTGGCAAGATACCAGGTTTCTGGTACTGGCCATGTCTAATGTTATTTAAATATTCACATCATGCAATAAGCAGTTTCACACTGCAATGTAATGGAAAATACATCCTAAACTGAATTGGAACTGAGACCCAAAGCAGAACCAGTAAATAAATATCTCGCATATATGTCAAACTATATTCTCCAAACAAAACCTTACATCTTATCAAAGAAGTCAGAAAGTACTAACAAAAATTATATGCTTTCTACTATAATACTGTTAAATTTCAATGGCTGAGAATGTCCCATTAATTTTTTCTGCCTTTTAAAATTAGTTGACAAAGTAGAAATCCAAACACAGAAATAAAATGCATATATATGAGAGCACTGGCTCAGTGAGATATCAAATATACAGCATTCTAGTGTCAAAAGTACAGGCAGAAATGTCCAAGATTTCTTGGTGAAAAAGGGGCATTTGAGGAGTAAAAATTCTACTTAACAATCACTCACATTTTAACAGTGCATTAATTATAACAAAAGCTGGATGATAAGTGAGCAACAGAATCATAATGTTCAGTGTTCATAGCAGAACTTTATCCTCTGCTCATTTAAATGAGGTTGGAAACATATACTCATGTATGTGAAACTTTAAGTAGCTATGTTTGTTTTTTCAATTTTTCAGGATTCTTGCAAGAGGCAAACTTGTGACATGGAATTGAGCTGGATGTCAGTACAAGGTGGTGCTCAGAGAAGTCTTCCTCTCGATGCTGTGCCTCTGGCTTATCAAAGGATGATTAGTCCTACAATCTTGTTTGATCTATTCTTTTGCCTCTAGGAAAAGGGTTTCTTGAGGATACAGTTTTACCTCCAGTAATGATTTATTTGGATCCAGCTGGGTAACCTGTAAATACATGAACACAAAAATATGTGTAAGTAGACTTTTGTATTGTTTATCTTCACAGTGCAGACTCTCACTGGGAAGATTTTTGAGTCCTTCCATCAGTGAGAACTGAAGTAGTGAATATCATTTTCCAGGACACAGATTAAGAAATGGACTTTGTGTTTTCTGTTGTTGTTATAAATACTATTTCATAATAACAATGAACAGAATAATAAAAAACCAGAATCCTTGACATTAATTCCAAGAAGGTATGGTTCTCTACCATAAACTAATGCACAAATCTATTTCTGTCAAAGTTAAGAAATTTTGGAAGGTTTACTAGAACACATGAGTTAAGACGAAAAATAAAGCTCCACTCCTAGATAATCATCCCAAATTTTCAGTCAAAACTGATGGTTCAAGCAGCATAGTCAGCTCAATAGGATGTCTCCACTGAAAAGGGAAACTTGATTTTCCTACTCCCTTTCTTGCTCCAAGTCACGTTGTGGAACACCCAGTTTACACTCCAATGTTTTCCAGACACTTCAGTCATCCCAGGCTGGCAGAAAACTGTTTAATTGTGTGGTTATTACACAACATATTTACTTATATAGATAAATTAACGACAAGTGTCCCAGCGTCCTTCTGACATTCAAGTTTACAAGTCAATGCTGTGACATCCTTCAGAATACTGCAAAGCTTCATGTAGAAAGATGAACCATTTTCCAGAAATATTTCACTTCCATTTTTAAACTTATTTCCCTGGTAATTCTGTTTTCATTAATTTTGCTGCGTAAGCACATCAGTTATAGGAATAGATCATTAGACTAATTATAGATTACTAGTCTTATGCTATAGGTATAAATGCAGATACATGCCAATAAACACTTCTTCCAAAGTTACATTTGTTTCATCTATGATCACAGCATGCCACTGCTTTCTAAAAACTTTTTTTGAAAACATTAAGAATTTAACACATGAAATGTTATGAATTAATACGAAATGTTCATGTAATTTTCTTAAAAGCCTAATTTACTAATCCTGTTACCTAGTAAGAAAAATAGTATTCACTTCTCATTCTCTCCCCCCAGCTGAATCAGGCAAACTTGAAATATATTTGCATTTCTATTGTCTTATTAAATAATTAGGGAAAATATTATTTAAACAAACATTCAAGGCTTATCACTTCCTAAGACCATCAAAACCAGTGTAACTTCATCTGACTACAGCAGATTTTTTTTAAAATGACATAAGTAAAAAAACCAAACCAAACCCAAAAACCAAACAGATGCATTATTTTATTCCTAAAGCAGGGACATATTTTCTTAAACTTCATGTACTGTGGTGAGCTACTGCTAAATGTCTGAAGAGAAAAATAATTTACAAAAACCAGACTCAATTTTAGATTCCTATTATCTACAGTCCAATTATGCATTCCTGCACAGATGCTGCTTGAATTATTGAAAGGTTATTATCTATGAAAGCAAACCTGTTACGTAAAAAACAGCCAAAGTAGTGCATTTAAGTTTGTGATTACAGAAGTATGCTAATTAAGTATCTTGTAGCATTTTTTAATGTTTTGGTATTCTGCTACAGTCTGTTACTGAATGGGGAGTGAGGTAAAGAGGGGTCTGTGCAATTCAGTTTCTGAGGCATTAGGCACCTGAGAGAAGCAATTTTCCTTCTTTTCAGTACAAGCCCATATTAATTTAGACATCTCCATTTTCAAATCCTGCAACCATTTTCTTGAGGTTTTTAATTTGATTTTTTTCCCCCCCCTCCCAAGAAAAGGCAGGAAAGTCATAACACAGCTCTTTCACACTTGGAAAAAAAAATCTCCAAAGTATGCCTAGGCACTGAACACAACCTTCTAGGCTGTAACCACATGGAAACGTGTTATTCACTTGAGCATAATTCAAGATACATGCCCTAGTCTAACGTTTGCAAACTTCAAGTGCCTTAAATAACAACACCACATGATGTTCCTTCCTCATTGAGAAGGGTCCTAAGAGCCTTCTGGAGTACCTGCAGCACAAGGACTGTTCAGCTTTTCACCATAATTTCAGTGTGCTGCTTAATTCACTGAGGGACAGCAGAGTTTGCAAATGTTTACACCATTACCCAATTAACTAACAATATGGCTCCTACATCTGTCAACAAACAAAGCTGTTGTTGCTTTGTTTTAGCTCCTTGGCATTTTCTGTTCATATGGGTCGCCATTGTACTTAATTATCACACCACAACCCTTCTGCAGCTTCTACTTTGTTATTTGTGGCTTGTAAATATGTTGTTTACTACAAAGAATAGAAGCTTTATTAGTGAACACACCACCTAACAAAAGAAATGGTTTCTCTTGTAAATATATGAAGTATAAGACTAAGATGCATTCTAACTTCCAGTATTTTAAAACAAAATTAGAAACCAAAGAATGATCTATAACAGAGATCAAAGGAAAGAGCTGTAGCCTGCAAAGATGTATTCAGTATAGTGTTCTACTTAATTTCATTCACTTATATTTATGTACATTATTTCATAATGAGCAGTACAGAATGCCTTTAGATGCATATCTGTGTGTCTTTTTTCATTACCCTTAGTACAAATTCTGGAACCCACTTCAGAGCTGACACCCTTTGGCTCTCATGCCATGCACGATGCTCTTTCCAAAACAGCTCTGCACATGATATAAGTTACACTGTCCCAAAGCCCTACACCTTTATTAGTTAAAGATTTATTCTATATTGTTAGCAATTACACAGAAAATCATTGAAGTACGCTTATATATTGAATCTGATTTCATCTGTTCCACGTATGTGGTGAACACTTTCTTGATTAGGGCTGCAAAATTCACCTTCAACATAAGTTAAAGGCCTTAACAAATGCTAAAAGCACATTTTTATCTGTATCTTCAAGTCCTACAATAACTGGCTTTCTACCAGTTGTAAGCACATGCTCTAGGAGTCACCTCATGCATCACACTGTGAGACCAGCTGAATGTATTTTTCAAATCTTTTGTGGGTTTGCTAATGCCTAATACTTTATATCATAATGGAACATGAACTAAAACCCCTTGAAAAGAGACTGTAAAGCGTTCCAAGCTTATCCAGTGAGGAGGGTGGCAGAGGAGGGACTCAATGTCCAGAAGCAGAGAGTATAACAAGTGACAGCAAAATTAGTGACATTCAAGCTCACAGAACCCTGTACAATACCATGCAGGTGCATTCAGGGCTGTCCCAAAGCCCTGAACACAGAGAGTGCCCCAGGAGATTTTATCTTCAGGCAAATGACTTTCTGTGCAAACCTGAACACCCCCCTCCTTTCAGGGAAGACTCCTTTGAGGAAAACGAGCAGAGGTGCTACAGGACTTTATTTCTGCCAGTGTTAGATCTTGCCACTGAGCTCCTTTCACTGAAATAGGTTTAAGCTGGTAAACAAAACTTTTATTCCAACTATGGATTCAGTTTTATAGAATCTTAGGTTTTGGTGCACTGGAGCTATGGCTTCCTCTTTTAAAGAGCTTTGTTGCACAACCAATGTCAGTTTGGTGCCAGGGAGGTTATAATTTAAATAAGTATTTGTTTAAGTGAACTGTGTGGTGATTATTCCAACTAAGAACTAGCTAGCTGGAGTACTTCTGTGCCACTTAGACGTTCAAATTATTTATGATTCTGCAAGGCACAAAGTAGTGCTGCTAACTCCTGTAAGAATATAGTAGCTGTTTACACTTAATGCTGAATTAATTAATTGGGGTTTTAGATAAATCAAAAATGAAAACCAATGCTCGTTTAAACAACATTTTAATACATTTTTACAGCAAAGTATTTTTCCTTCTAGAATAACATTGGAGTTATTTCTGTCTCCACCTTTGCTGGCCTATCTGTCCTATTACACACTCACATCCTGAGCAGCTGTACTTTTACCACTTACAGGGTGTGGTTCCTTACCCTCCCTAACTCTGCGGGGAAAAGATAAATACAAAAAAAAATGGCTTAATGCCCAGGAAGGTAATTTAAAAATAAAGAATCAAATACACAATTATTATGACACTTACACAAGCAGTAAATATCACACCCTTCACCTTTCTCTCCACCCTAGGACAAGGATCTGATTCCTGAGTAGCACAGCCTCTATACCACTTACACACGCATGAATACATTTAATGAATCTAACGGACAAAGAGTTCTTTTACTCTCTTTCCTAATCCTCCTAAAGTATAAATGCAATAGAAATTACTTAAAGGCACACCTGGTAAAGTACCAGATCTGTTTAAAAAACTATATTTTCAGAGTGACACACAAACAAATACAGTGAATCCTTTCTACCTATTGAAATATCTCTGGGCTACACAGATAATACGCTCAACTTGAGCAACAAACAAAAGTAGAGTTACTTTATAGAAATATATGCAATTAGATTGGACTTAGTTGAATAAACTTGGAGATAATTTACATCTGAATTGAAGAAAGCCGTCACAAACAAGGAAAAATATGTCATAGTAAAAGACTTGTAGCCTCGATCCAAATACAAAGCTTTAATCCAATACATCACACTGACTGTCTTATTTCTTTGAAGAGGTTTTCTCAAAACATATTTTAGATTAAGCATATTTAAAAATGCATTTACTAAGCAAAATAGAAGCTGTTGATAAAACAGAAAATTGTGATGCTGTATCCTCTACTTTGAGCATGCTTCCCATTTTTCCCTTGGAAAGCTGTGCAGTGCTCTGAGATGCAGCCGACATTGACACAGAGTCTAAGTTTTCATTGCCTTAACATAATTTATATTTTAAAAAATTGCTGCATAGATTTTAACCAGTGAAGACTGACTAGCCTCTCTCACACTACTTGACTTACTTGACAGTAAATTAAGACAGCAACTGTGTTCTCCCCTGTTTTCTAAAACACTGAAAGTAATGACAGGGTGGTGCAAATAACAAGGATAAGCCCAAACTCAGTGTTGATATATTTGTATAGTGGCACCTGGACTATCTGGTGCTTTTTAAAAGTTCTAAATGAAAATCTGAT